TGGCAACTCACCAGAAAAATAATGTAAATATAAGAAATGAATTTAATTTTTGAAAATTCATGAGGTACATGAAATACAACGCTTCACGCCGGCATATTTATTATGAAGCGCTAACGCGCTTCATGAAATATGCCGGCGTGAAGCGTCGTAGTTCATGTCCTCATGAATCTCCAAAAATTAAATTCATTTCTTAAATGGACGACAATATGCTCAGTGAGTTTATGTACACATTGTCGCCGGCGACAATCTGAATAGGACGACAAAATGTACCGTCAGAATCACGCTGCATGAATAAGCATACGAGATACGTCAATGTGATTTACACACCAATTACATTTACAAATCCACCAAAAACAAGAGGCCCATGGGCTACATCGCTCACCTGTGCACTTTGGATCGGAAATAGCAGAAATCAGTTCAGTATTCAAAAGTTTAAGGAGGCTGGGGGGTCAACAAATTAACAACAAATTAACCACCAGATTTAACTTAATTTTTTTTTTTAGATATATCTTAAGCTGTCAACTATCATTTGGCAAAGAAAAATTTCAAAAATTTTAGTTTTAAAATTTGATCATTTTCTATATCTTCATATGGAGCTCTTCTTCTAAAGGAGATCAATATAGTCTAAAAATGGCCACAACCCCCCAGCCTCTTTAAATGTTAAAGTGCGGGAGGGGTATGATTTGCATGAACAAACTTGAATCTACACCACCAAAAGATGCTTTTGAACTAATATGACTAATAATGGCTTTGTTTTCTAAAGAAGAAATTTTTATTGATATATCATTTATAGCCCTTTCTTTAACTATGATCCCCTGATTGGCCCCTCTGTGGGATCATGATTTGAACAAATTTGAATCTACATTACCTGAGGATGCTTTTATTTTATGATGACCAATCACGTTTCTGCTGTTCTTGAGAATAAGATTTTTAATGATTTCCCCTATGTATTCCTATGTTAAACTTTGATTTGAATAAATTTGAATCTACACTACCTGAGGATGCTTCCATAAATATGACCAATAATGGCTTTGCTGTTCTTGAGAAGATTTTCAAAGATTTTTCCTATATTATCCTATGTAAAATTTTGATAGCCCACTGTGGCCCCATTCTACCCCCGGAGTCATGATTTGAACAAACATTACCTGAGGATGCTTCCACATAAGTTTCATATTATCGGCCGTTGTCTTGCCCGATTTTTTTTTTTCGTCGGCCGACCAATTTTATGCATGTCAGTCGGGTCAAGTTATTTTTTATTTATTTATTTAATTATTTATTTTTTGCGTCTGTGGCCGATTCAATTGAAGCACTCATTGAATAGTCCGTCCACGAACCTTCGATCATAGGCCGACCATCGGCATACAGTTTTTAAAGTCGGTCGTCAGTCGGTCGACATTTAGGAATTGAGTTTTCGTAAAACTGCCGGCCGAAGATGAAAATCAAACTGCGGCCTGGCGAACGATGATCGGGCGACGGTTGGCCAACTTATGAATATTTTTACTTTTAAAGGTATCGGTGTTCCCTGGAATTAATGTGACTACTCTGTGTCGCCCGATACTAGTGTCGGCCGATCATGTTTTTTTCAGCCGAGAATACGACAGTAATTTGGCCGCCCGACCATCGGCATGTGACCTAAGCATAACATTTTAATTTTGTTATACTGATGAGGAATTGTATATGTTTGCATACTAGCTAGGATGCAGGTTCCTAAGAGAAAATGAATTGAAAAAACATCGCTGAATAGTTAGCACATTGGTGTGAGCTGCTTTAAGACGACTCTGAGATTCAAATATATTTGTAATATGCTTTGTATTTTTTTAAAATAAAGCATATATTTGATCATTTCTGTTGCATTTTATTGATTTACTTACATGTTAAGAAAAATGACACCGGACCAGATAAACTTAACGTACTGGCAACGGACTTTTTGCTTATAAACTGCGATTTCTTAAAACATGTTAGCTATACAAAAGGCTGTCAGTTGCCTAATACATTGAAAATGAAGTTTCTCTTCATATTTTAAAATAAAAGAACCATTTCGATGAATTAAATATAAGAAATATATAATTTTCCAGCTCACGATCATGGCTTCACACATGGGCATGTGATCGCCAATCAAAACTCCGCAAAATGTATTGTGGATATCAAATACATTAATCTTTGTATGGAATACTGAATGTTGTATCTGTTTCCCAAAATTCAAATTTATTCTTAGAATTTGTCAAAAATGTTAAAATTTAGGCATTATGTATTAATTCTTGTATCTTTTGCATGACACCGGACGGATTTTATCATAACCTCACCTGTATGTTCATGACAACGAACCAGTTTCAGTGCTTAACTTTAAAGGTTTCTGACAACGGTACTGTCTGGGAACTTAACGTGTTCCTGGCCGTGACAGGGGCATGTGGAGAGTTATTACGTATAATACAGGTTGTCCGCCTATTTTATATTCTAATTACATGTATTAGAACTGTTTAGTAAAGGCTAAATCAGACAACATGTATTGTGTAAAATTTTGACAATATCGAACTTGAATATAAACATTATATGTGACCTAATATTTGCATTTAATCAGACTTAACTCAATATGAGTTAAGTCATATTATGGAAATGAGTAGATCAACTTCTTGTTACATAGTCAAAGAAGCATAACTCTTACAACATTATCATTACTGACTTTTGACACTACCCTTTTGAAATAATTTGCTGTATAATCAAGTGCCTCCGTGGTCTAGGGATATGATGCTTGCTTAGCAAGCGAGAGGCCCGGGTTCAAATCCCGGACAATTTTTTTGAAATGGGTTTTTTTTTTATTTATAGATGATACTATTCAACATGTGAAATGAGAAAGTTATGACGTATGGCGTGTGCAAACTCATGAAATCATTATTACAGTGTGATAAATATTCTAAATATTAAAAAGAATCTTCTATACACATATTAAAGAATAAGCAATCAAATATTTATATCCATATTGGCATTTTTTATTTGCTTCAATATACATATAATAATTCTACAAATCCAGAGGGGGGGGGGGTCCGACCCCCCCCCCCCGAACTGCGCATGCTCTTCTTTTTTCCCTAAGCGGGGGACACAGATTCTCTGAATTAGCTTCTTTTTTTTTTTAAATTCACCCTTATCTCAATTGCTTCTTGTAATACGTTAATAAACAAACATTATTGGAATTGTAGATGCTTTTAAAAATTAGTATAAAAATAAGTCCGTGCAACAAGCTTCTTTGACACACTTGCTTTATTTTTGGCAGTCAACACTCTAATCAGGTAATACAAGAAAACATGAGGCTCAGAATGTCAAGACTGCTCCTTTTCTAAACAATTTTGTCAAGAAGTAATATGACCAGACTAAATGCTTTAGGCACAAAAAAGGAAAAATTTTATCAGTTATCGAATTTTTCAGCCATTTATTTTGTTTCGTATGTTATCACACAAAAAAGATAAAAGTAACTACGGTAATTTTTATAAGTAAGTAGGCTACGAATTAGTGGAGCAGTATATTGTTTTCATCAGTCATGATGTTAAGTAAGAAAATAGATTTTTTGAGATATTCTTTGATACGTATATATGAATTACTTTCGCAGTTCAAAATAAATGAAAGATTCTAGGCCTTAGCAGTTCGATTTAATTGCTGAAAATAAAATCACGTTATTAGAGAGGCCCTTATTTGGGATTATCGGATCGTTAGTATTTCCCCGATTTTTCGTCTTTTATTTGAATCGTAGGTATTTCCATTTCCTTTTTAAAAAGACGCACTTTGCCATTTCAAGTTGTAATTTTTTTTATATTTTATATGTTGTTTAGCAACTTCATTTGCAAATTGGATATTTCATATTCATTTCTATATTTGCCTATTTCTTGTGTATTTTCATCTACATGTATTTGCCATTTGCCATTTGGGTTGCCAAAATCGTCCAAAGAACTTGATTCGGTTATCTTGGTTACGATTGTAACCAGTAAATAATTGTAATTGTTGATAACTGAAAATTGTAGTGCTGCCATGGCCATTATTCACCATCAAACATCAAAAGTGTAAATCTTTTAATAACTAGTACCTGAGCAATTCAACTTAAGATTTTTTTTTTACCTTAAAAAGTACCTGATGTAAATTTAAGTTAATCTTAGAACACAAACACTCTATATAAAAGGTTCTTCCTATCGCAAGATTTGTACTATCTAATAAGAGAAAATAACCTCAGAATTTAGGAGAGATCATATTACTGTACTTATACATCAAAGAGCGATTTTAAAAGATACTTTTTTTCAAAGTTACCTAGTTTTAGTTTTATAGAATAAATTTTAGTCTATAATCATTATGGTAAAACAGTTCAAACGTTTTGCCAATATATCTTGATAAAAGGGAGTCATAATGTATCAATAGTAAATCATAGAATCAAAGTTTTTCCAAATAAACAATTTTTTTAATACTATGGAAATCAATTTTTAGATTTTTTTTTTATCAAAAGTTGACATGTCGCTATATATTCTAAAAGCATTATTACTCGTATATCTGTATTACAATGTAGTACAGTGCATATCCCTTTCGAAGTTATGATCTTTCGAATTGTACGAGCATTATTCCATGAATACTCAAGAGCAGAGAATTATAGTAAATAAGGTACATGGATCACAGTAACGACGCATGAACTACATCATAATATAGTTAGTGAATAATGTATTATAGTGTTGGAGGGTAAATATTATATTAAATATATTAAAGTATTTCACTGTTCAATATGTAATCAAGGATTCAATTAGCTCGAATATTAATCTGGAAGCTGATTTAATATCCCGGGACATTGTGTTAACATATCAACAACTTTAAATAAATAATTATTGTGCGTTTTCGATTTTACAAATATATTCAAATAAATACGTAACAAAATTATCTGCGTGTTTGCTTTGATTTAATTTTGTAATATTTATTTTAGAATTTAAAAAAGTAATTAACCTTCATCATATCAATATTAGTCGAAATCTTACTTAGGTGGCTTAGATGTGGTGGTCATTTCTACAGCAGAAAACCCCTCATTTTCTTGTCCGGATTCACCATTACTTATTTCTTTAAATGGCCTGCAAAATGATGAAAAAAGTCAAATATAAGAGCTTTTTTGTCTTACTTTTTGTCATCTCATCACAATATGTACATTACAATTCAAGAAATTTCCAGGGTTATGAATATCAGTTATGTATATGTAAAATAGTTCGGTATCTTAAACATACCCTTTCCCTCTCCTTTTAAGGAATACAATGACTAATATTACAACAATAAGAGCAAGGACAACAGCAGTAACTGACCCGGCAATAACTGGTACGTTGTTTGGAGCTAAAATAAATAAATATTTATATATGTATAGAACAAAATGATGTCCATATCATCTCCTTTCTCATGTTCAGGAGAATCTTACCCGTGGTGAATGGACTTGAGTATTCTGATTCCAGACACCCTTCTTCAGTACATGTCGCAAATCGCACCCTTAAAGAGAGGAATGATTTATTGATGTAATGGAAGAAATATTTGAAAATTATTAAACTTGCTCTTATGCAGTTAAATCAAACAAGATAGATCAGACAATGATTCTATCATAAAACTGATACCGATATGTTTTTCCTGGCTCTAGAACACCATTACAATATTTGCGAGGATTAGAACATTCTCCATCTGATCCAAGGGTAAATGCGATGGTTTTTTCTACACTTCTTCTCTTTCGTTTACCTTTATTAAAAATATTGTTGTCCATTAAAGTGTATGATAATTTGACTAAAAAGAACTATTTCAGTGTAAATGAAATATTATTACTCTACTTTCATCACAGTTTGGTTGCCAGGAATCTGATGCTACATAAGTGTGGCTTTCATCCTTTTCATACACATCCCTCCAGGTTTTATAATTAATTTTAATGAAATCCATGTATTTCTTCTTCGATCCATAAAATTTATCTATAACGAGAAAAGTAGTTCAATAAAAAAGAAACAAATATTCTAACAATATGTGATAAAAATTACCCTCTAATCACTTACTTGCTGATTCTTTTGATTCTTTTGAGACGATGACAAACCATTGTCTAATCTTTCCATTTCTCTCATCACACAGTGCAAGTCGACTAAATGCCACAGAAATTTGTTTTTGGTCGTCAGACACAGACGGGCCCTTTTGAATCAGGGGATTCTTTTGAGGAGGGAAGGGAAGCGGTGCTTTAAAAAAAAATACCTTATTTATCTTCTTTTCAATTCCTTAAATAAAAAAGGGTCACCCACATTGCACACATGATTTCTCTACAATCTAGTTTCTTATTATCTCCATGTAAAACCGATTCCTTTTAAGATATCGAACTGACCCGGCGGCGAATCTTTAAACAAACTTGAATTTGGTCTAACTGAGGATGCTTGCATATTGATATGACTAAACCAGACATTGCTGGTCTTTACAAGTAAACTTGTCCAATATACTCCTTTGTTAAATTCTGATTCCGTTTAGTAGCTTAATCTTAATCCAGGGGCAATGAATTGCACAACTTAAATCATAACTACTAACGGATGCTAACATACTAGTATTAATGTGATTAATAATGCCTTTGCTGTTCTTGAGAAAATTCTTAAAGATTTCTACATGTTTTCATGTAAAAATATGTTCTCTTATAGTAGCTCCACTCTATCCCCGGAGGTCATAATTTGAAAAAAACTTGGATCTGCATGACTTGAGAATGTCTGCGTAATTAAATGACTGATGATTGCATTGCTTGTGTTGGGAAGAAGATTTAAAGATTTTTTTCCATTCAGATGTAAAATACTCTTATTGTTCCACGATCCTATCATAGGGACCATGATTTAAGCGAACTTCAATCTATTGTACATGATAATGTTTACATACATGTATAAATATCACTTAGCATCGACAACTCCTTCTTCAGTAAGAACAGCACTCATGAATTGTCGGATGTTTACTGGTCATCAACATAACTTCTTTGTTAAAAATCGCTCTGACTCAACACGAGTACACTGAAGTTGATATCAAAAAGATGCTGGAGTTCCTCATTGACAACATTTATGTAGTCTTTAGAGACCAGTCTTCCAACAAAATGTTAGAATTTCGATGGGCACTAATTGTACTCCTTGATTAGTCGACCTGTTTTTTTTTATTCCTATGTAGCAGATTTTATTAGAAGAAAACACTTGTTGTGGCCTTCAACTCGACATTTAGATATATCGACGACGTTTTATAAATTAACAATCATAACCTCCTTTAATATGTGTCGCCCGCGTGACGCAGTGGTTAGAGCCTCTGCTCTAGAGTCGAGGAGTAAGGAGTTGATCCTTACTTCGCGGGTTCGAATCCCACTGTGGGACGTGGAGACCGGTCCTTCGGATGAGACCCTATAAACCGAGGTCCTGTGTCACAGTAGGTGCTGGCACGAAAAAGATCCTTCACTGCTCAATGGCCGTAAGTGCCGATTATAGGACAAAATTTGCAGCTCTCCATCGGCAAGTGGTGGCGTTTCCATATGAAATATATGGCGATAACGAACAGTATTCAAGCTCAAAAGTCCATTAATCAATACAAAATAGGAGCAGAGCAAACACGGACCTCCAAACATCAGAGGTGGGATCAGGTGCCATGGAGGAGTGAGCATCCCCTGCCGACCGGTTACACCCGCCGTGTGCTCCTTGTCATGATCGCGAAATAATGGAAAAATCCGTCGACAATTCAGTGTGTAAATAATGGCCTAACAATTAGTGTGAAAAACGTCAGTCAGCATTTGACTCAATGATAAATTGTATTTGCTGACAAGGTCATTGTATCGACCATAGAACTTACGAAATGAGTGAAAAATTCTCGAGAGGGATGTTAAACAACACGCACACACACCTTTAATATGTCGACTCGATATATTCAAATGAACTCAAAGATGAAAGACTCCACAGAGTCTGCCAGATCTTTTCATACTTGGATTTTGTACTGACTATAGACGATAGTGCCAACTAAAAACTAAATTGTATTATAAACGAGATGATTTTAACTTGTCCGTCTCCAACTTTTCTTATCTATGTAGTAATATTCCACAATCCCAACTTAATTGCTTAATCAAGAGCACGTTCTCAGTACGATAAATTTTTAAACCGCCAGGCTACTCACAGATGTATTCCTCAATAAACGTTTGTTATTGTGGCCCGAACCTATCCATGTGGTCCATATATAATGTGAACTTTAATTACATTATTTCAGAAAACTTCACATAAAATTGATATAATACCTTGCCCTTGGTTCTTGAGAAACTGGAGAAACTTTTAAAGACAACCACTTTATTTTTACCTTTTCTTGATTATCTATATAATCTTTTCTTTTTTTGAACAAATTTGTGCCCCCTTAAAACAACAATACTATTTAGCAAGTTTGGTTTAAATGATCCAGTGGCTCTGAAATAGAAGTCAAGCATTTGAAAGTTAACAGACAGACAGACAGACAGACGGGTAGACAGACAGACAACAGACAAAAATGATCACAAAAATTCATTCTAACCTTAGATTCAGATGAATTATAAATCAGAGGTATCTCTATCTTCATCAAGCTTCCCTTTACATGGAAATGCAAATTATAATAATGTCATATACTACTTTGACATGGACACAAGAGAGAGAGAGAGAGAGATTTTTTCAGGTTTTTAGAGCTTTCTTAGCAAGTTCAACACACTTTTGTCAAAGCTGTTAAATTACAAGGTACTAGTATTTGCTGTATAAGAAAATATCCTGTTGCTTCTCATGTGTGTATCGTTTTTCACACCGCCATTAACAAAACGTATGGTAAAATTTAATTCTGAGAAAACATTAACTACTTGTTTTAAAGACGTTAAAATTGTTCAATTTTACAAAAAACAGATAAAATGTGCTGATTTTCTTGCTAAGGAATGTTTTAGCCCTGTTTTTGGACCGGGCGTATAGAAGGCATGATTGGAAAAAAAAACTTGAAAATAATATACTACTTGAGGATGCTTGTTTGTTAACTTATTCAGTTGTGGTTGTTCTGGTCTTAAGAATCTTTTTTAAAAAGAGATAAATAATTCACATTATATAATTCACTTTCTTTTCTTATACATAGTGCCCTGTTATGTCATTTTTGATCCCATTTTTTCTCTCGAGTTCTCCATAAGCCATATCTGAACAAATATGAATCCACACTATTCTAAAAGAAGTTTTTTTTAGATACATATTGCTATTTCAACATTTTTTCAACATTTTTCCTTTTATTATTGTCGTATGGAGTCATTTGAACGAATTGAAACAAAATGACTTACCACCAGGTTTAATGAGTAAACTTCGACTAAAGTAAAACTCTTGTGTCGCATTTTCAATTGTCATAGCAAATATCTGAAATAATAAATACGAGATCATACTTAAAAAAATCTGAAAGAACAATAATGGTAATGAGCTGCAACCCATTAGCTTATCTTTTGATCGCTTAAATTGAGATCACTTAAAGTAGAGTTGTATTTGAAATAAATCAAAATATATATATTAACGACAGTAAAATTTGATTTTGCTTTGTTTTAACAAGTATATTAAATATCAACCATGTTTCATTTGGTAGGAAAATTATATCAAATATGATTTAAAATAGCTCATTGATTCTTGAGAATCCTAGCCTAGAAATCTACCTTTACAACAAAATTAAATACATTTTTATACTGATACTGTTCCAGAACCTTCCGATATTAACCTCAAATGTATAGTTTTTCTCAGGCTCCACTTCAATTTCAGCTGAATTATTTTTCCCACTATATGCATTCAACTGTCAAACACCAAGAATATTTTATTAAGTCAATTTCTGGAAAAAAATAATTATTTAAGTTTAACAGGGTATGTTGTGGTTTCTGGAAAATCTTTCTTATATATAAATTAACCCTTTACTATCTATTGTACGAAAATCTATTATCTATTTATCTCAAAGGCATACTTAAAAAATTATCTTTTATCATATTATTTTCTTACCATCCTTTTACTTTGTGGATACCAGAATTGAATGAAATACTTTTGTATAACCCCATTGAGATCTCTTTTTATAGGTGGCTTCCACTTTATAATAACATTAGTTTTGGCGGTTACATTCGTGTCCTGTTTCACGGAAAAGAATACAACTTTACCTGGAGCTGTAAGGAAAAAGACAGACCAGAACTTATATATATATTATTATTATTATCTCTAAACATGCATTGTTAAAACAAGAATATTATTTTGTCCATAACTTACCACTTTGTTTAGTCCGGACTTCAGAGGTGGAAATTGCAGGATCAAAATTTCCAGTGTATGCTTTCACCTCCAAAGAATAGTTCCAGTACGCGTCCAATCCCTCAATAACACACGATGTATTATTAAATCCTACGTATATATACAAAGTAAAAAAGTTCATATACAAGTAAATTTTCTCGATTAAAAAAGTACATGTAATAGCGTATTGTGCATAATAGAAATAAAACTGAACGTATTTACATAAGAAAATTATTTGAGAATTGAAACGCCAGTGTCAATAATTCTTTTTAAAGAAAGCGTTATGCGTGCCAATCTTAATATATGAATTTAATACAAAATTAGTTTTCAATTGACTGAGAATGATAGCTAACTGATCGATGCAAGCATAATAATAAAAATGGAATAAATTAGAACATTTTCAAATATAAGGAAAGGAAAAAGAAACGTACGCTAAACTTTTAAAGTAAATAAGATCTATTTATTCGACTGTATTTTCCAGTATTGTTATCAAAAATTTAAACTCATCTGAAATCAGCAAGTTACCAAAATCTTATGTAATTTGACTGATATATAATGCATGATTTAGTGAAATCCATATGAGTAACCCCCGAAAGTGAAAATAAAATTTTTTATTATCTCCCTCGAGCATCTTACACAGACTTTATTTTTCTCTACATTGAGTTCATCAATTATCTTTCTGATAGGGATATTATTCAAGCTCTCCGACAGGGCAGCCCTTTGCTGGTCGAGAGTAGCTGGGGCATTCCGACGCCTTCAAACCCTTCCGTCCAGTTAGTTCCACAGTTTTTCGATTGTAGAAAAAAGAGATAGAAATTACGGAAGCCAGATAGAAATTACGGAAGCCAGTTGATTCGGTAAATGTGAATGTTTGTTAGAAAGTCTTAACCTCTGGGTATATTTTCCCGGGGTGAACATGCTGAAAAAAAAACTAGATATACAACGCATACGTGCGCGAGTGAGAGTAATACCAACGTAAAGTTGACGAGCTTGAGGTCCAAAATAGAGCAATCGTAAATTTTATGGTCATAGTAATGACCTTGTTAGCAAATATAACATATCATTGGGTCGTATTTTGACTGACTTGTATCATACTAAATGTAGGCCTTTGTTTTTATACTAGATTTGATTACGCAATGTATCCTTGATCAATTCATAGGGGTAACGGTTGGTTTGACCGGTCAACAGGGGATGCTTACTCTTCCTAGGCACCTGATTCCACCTCTGGAATTTCCAGGGGTCCGTGTTTTATACCCTTTTCAGATATTTGTATTGTTTATAGAATTTTTTGAGATCGATCACTATTCGTTATCTTCATCTTTTACATTTCTTTCAGTTTTATGATGAATGTGACGATTGTGATTGTCTACTGTATTAATATCGGATTCAGTGGTAATGCTGTGGCGATTAGACAGGTGGTAGGATGAAAAGCCTTGTCTTGATGTGACGTTCTTACGCGCTAAAGTCAGGTTGAGGCTATCTGGTACCGATTGCAGGGTGGCTGGCAGGAGTTATCTCTCCATAAGTGCGTACGAGTTATCTCGCATTACAACGGTGATATCCATGAATTTATACCCTTATTAAAAGTTCCACATCGATCGTTCTCTAGAAAGGTTAATGTTTATTTAATATGTAAAACGTAATAATTAAGAAAAATAAAGGAAGATAGACAATTAAAGTCCTCTAATTGTTGATTTGGGAGCATATAGTGCATTCGAACGGGGGGGGGGGGGGGGGGGAGGGCGAAGGGGTATCGTCACAATAATTTTAACATTATATAATATTTACTTGAAAAGAGTCTTATGGAGCTCTCTCTCTTTCTCTCTCTCCACAAAAAATGTATGATGAAGTTTATTTTTTAAATTATATAATTTTATATATATATATATATATATATATATATATATATATATATATATATATATATATATATATATATATATATATATATATATATAATTTATGTACATATTTATTTTTATTTATTTATTTATTTTTGTAAATACACATCTTTTGTTTATCACTCGAGACTGTGATGTTTTCAGTTACCTTTTGTTGTTATTCTTTTCTTTTGACAAATGTTTACTCGCTTTGTCATTCTCTCAGACATATGGCACGATAACCGAACGTATTTCTTCTTGAAATTGAAACTCTTAGCCTATAAATCAAAGTACAAAAAATTAGGAAATTTTAAATCCCCCTCCATGTATCAGCGAATGCTGGTGTGCAAAGACTCTTCATAGACCTTTTATTATTTACTTATTTACAATTTAATCAAGGGTCGAAAGGAAGTGTTTTTTAATGTCTCCAAGTTCTCTCTCTCTCTCTCTCTCTCTCTCTCTCTCTCTCTCCCTCTCTCTGACGGTGGTGAACCCCTGCCTCAATCCGTGCTTGCTGTGTTCTACATTTAGTCTAATTTTCAGACACTCTTAGCTTTCTAGTCATCATATTCTAATTCACCGAAAATTTTTCTGTTTTTTAAAAATATATTTCATTTCATATTTTCACAGTGTACATAACAATTCCATGATAACCTTGTACAATTTACTAATAATGATAGCGTTTATAATATAGGTCCAACTAGTATTTCAAAACTATCCCTAAAATAAAATTCGGCATCTATATGTATGCCCCCCCCCCCCCTGAAAAAAACTAAAATTCTTAAACCAGTATTTAATAGTGATATTTATTTCCTTTAATGCGTAATATGAATAAAGGAATGTTTTAACGCCGAGAATCAACATTTAATATTCTAAACATGTGTATAAAAGTTAAGACATACTAAAGTCACCTCTACCGACCGCCTAAGTTTTGATAAGATTGTCATATCTAAGCACGCTTTTAGTTACGGTATTAAATCAAACACTGTACATTTAGCATGGTGTTAGACTTAAGTACCCTTTATGTTACGATCCCAAGAAAATGAAACATGCCCACCTCTAACAGGTACTACATTATGTATCAAGTTATGATACTTCCTACCTTTAACAGGTACCAGAGTTCAAAGTGACCTACCTCTAAAAGGTACCAAATTTCAAAGCTACCTACCGCTAACAGGTACCAGATTTTAAAGCTACCTACCTCTATTAGGTACCATATTTTAAAGTTACTTACCTCTAACAGGTACCAGATTTTAAAGCTAACTACCTCTAACAGGTACCAGATTTTAAAGCTACCTTCCTCTAACAGGTACCCGAGTTCAAAGCTACCTACCGCTAACAGGTACCAGATAATAAAGCTACCTACCTCTAACAGGTACCAGATTTCAAAGCTACCTACCTCTAACAGGTACCAGATTTTAAAGCTATCTTCCTCTAACAGGTACCCGAATTCAAAACTACCTACCTCTAACAGGTACCAGATTTTAAAGCTACCTACCTCTATTAGGTACCAGATTTTAAAATTACCTACCTCTAACAGGTACCAGATTTCAAAGCTTCCTACCTCTAACAGGTACCCGAGTTTGACTTTCAATTTTTGTTTCAATTCCTGTAATTCAGGTGCTTCATTATAGTCTAAGAGGAATGTAAAAAAAAATTTCAAAGCATCTGAAAGATTTCGAAGATTAAAGTCTTTAATTTGCTAAAACCCACTGAGGTTTTGGAACACCCCCCCCCCCCCCCCCCGGTCAGGACACTACCCTGCACCCACTTAGGAATCGGGTGTCCCCCCTACCCGAACCATTACCTCACTAAAAATTTGAGCCTAGTTACAGCCTTGATCTTATTGCTTAATATAGTCATACCAACAGTTTGACTGTTTGATGTTCAGGAGTATGATTTTAAAGATTGTATTACTTTTTATTGTTTTGACCCCACCTCTTAGGCCCCAGGGAGAACAAACCATGAATTATTAAAGTTTTGTTTTCCTTTGCCCTAGATGTTCTATGCCAAAATTGCAATACATTCAGCCATTCATGAGAAGAAGCAGCATGAAAATGTTAAAATTTTTGACCGATGCAAGACAGAAGGCGACGGACATACAACAAATGATGACTCAGGGGACCCAATGAACTAATAAAATGTTTGATTCACAAAGTAATGGATTGTTGGCATATAAATAAGATATAAATCCTTCTTGC